TTTGCAGCAGAAATGTACAAACAAAAATTACAGACTTTATGAAGTAGATTTCCAATTGAATTTTGTTTATCTTTTTGTGTTCTTTTTCGTCATACCTACTAACTTCTACTACTCTATGTAAAAATAACGAAATAAAATACACCACGTGTTTTTGTATTGTTATTCGCTTGTAGCGAACTCCGGATATAACGAACCAGTTTTAGTTCATTTTTCAAGTTCGTTATATCCGGACTGAACTGCGTTTAGAAAAAAATAAAATCCGATCGTTTCTATTCTACTCACTTTCCCGCTGGACTTGATTCGTGGTTTCCGACAGCTGGAAATATGGGCGTGTTTGGAAAAGCTTTCACGACCATCGCGATGGTGTCTTCTATCACCTTCAGGTTTTTCTGCTTGGTTTGGTTCCAAATATCGTGAGGTGGCAAGTCGCCAGTCCATAGAATATAGTCAATGTCCTGAAACAGACGCTTTTGAGCTTCCAATCGGATCGAATCAGGGACAATTGACTGTTACCGGGTGCTGAAAGGCAATGTTTTGCAGCATGTTCTCGAGCAAAGCTTTGGGAGCATCGCATTTTTCGTATGAGCCCCATCTGGAACAACGTCGAAAATGGCTCTAAACTGCGCTAAATTGATTGAGCGATTTCTCCAATTTCCCGCAAGATTACCTGCCTGCGGGAAGGGGCTCTTCGCCGCTCCTTAGGGTGCTGTAAGTGCGGCAACATAGAGGTTCTTCGCAATTGGTCACAGCGCCCTCCACATAGTCCAAGTCATAGTGGGTGTCGGATATTTGCAGCACTTTGAACACCGGCATACCAACCTGGAAAAAATCTGGTTAGTTTATTTAAGCCAGCATCTCGTCTATTCCGCATGGAAAACGTTCGCTGAAAAATCTGGGACAATTTTAATGTCAGAAAATGTTCACTCCTGCACATTCAAACATTAATATTAATTCAATACAACCAGCGCTAGCAGGGTTTGTAGCAATTACTATCGACATTCAATAAAACAAACATAAAACAAAAAAATGTTTCAATTCATGACACGTCTTCAAGTTCTTAAACTAGTTTAAATACATAACATAACCTTTGAAATTGAGGGTTTTGTTATAGATAAAGACGAGGTTTTGTTTTCGTTCTAGCAAATT